TGGCCGTGCTGGCGGCCCACGGGCGCCTGGTGACGGCGGCGCGGCAGCGGGCGCTGGCCGAGGGCGGGCGGCTCTGTGCCAGCGACCTGCACCTGCTCCTCAACCTGCTGGGCGGCGGGGCGGGTGCGGGCGAGGTGTGGACCCCCGTGTGCCTGCCCCGCTTCAACCCCGACGGCTACTTCTACGCGTACGCGGCGCGGCTGGGCGAGGAGGAGGAGGAGGGCGTGACGCTGATCCTGCTGTCCACGGAGCGCGAGGGCTTCTACGCGGCGGCCGCGTGCCGGCGGCAGCTGGAGGACACGCTGCGGGCGCAGGGCTGGCTGGCGGAGCTCGGCGCGGCCGTGCAGGGGGGCGCGGGGTACGGCCCCTCCCGCGCCGGCGCCCCCGAGCTCCGGCACTTCCTCTACAAGCCCTTGGAGGGGCCCGAGGAGATGCAGCAGCTGCCGCAGTTCACCAGGTGTGCGGGGAGGGGAAAACACCCCAGAACTGGGGGGCCGGGGGTGTCCCTGGTGTTCACCTGACGCCCACATTCCCCCCCCTCTTCCCCCCCTCTCACCGGCTGCAGCCCCGAGCTGGAGGAGCCCTACACCAGCGAGGAGGAGCAGCACCGGCTCTTCGACCTGTACCACTACCTGCACAGCCGCGTGCACAGCCCCCAGCGGCCCCTGCGCCTGCTCTACCACGTGGCCGAGAAGGAAACGCTCCTGGCCTGGGTGAGCTGCAGGGGAGGAGCTGTCAGCAGGTTCCAGAGTTAAGAGGGGTGCTCGCAGTCAGCAGGTTCCAGAGTTAACAGACAGCATTCACTCACAGTTCTCTCAGCAGGTTCCAGGGTTACTGAAGTTGTGGGGGTGTGGCACAGTCAACAGATCCCACAGTTCACAGGAAGTGCACATTTGTGCTGCCATGAGTGGGTTCCAGAGTTAATGGGGGTTGCTCTCTGTGACCACTCTTGATAGTTTCCAGAGTTAAAGGGTGCTCACTGTCGGTGCTGTCCGTAGGACCCAGAGTTAGCAGGTGCTCACTGGCACTGCTATCAGTAGGTCCCAGAGTTAACAGGCGTGGGTTCCCACAGGTGACCAGCAAATTCGAGCTGTACAGCTGCTTCAGCCCACTGGTGACGAAGGCCGGAGCCATCGCGGTGCTGACCAAGCTGCTGCGCTGGCTCAAGAAGGAGGAGGACTGGCTGTTCATCCGCTACCCGGCGCCGTTCAGCGCCGCGCCCGCGCGCCCCGAGGGGGCCGAGCCTGAGGGCTGACAATAAACACTGAGACCACAGGGAAGAGTCCTGAGTCAGGGGGACAGGGGGGACACGTCCTGAGGGGTGAGGGGAGGGGGGAGAGGGAACACGAACGGGAGGGAGAGGGGACAGAGAAGGGGGAAAAGGGAACAGAAAATGGGGGGGACATCAGACAGAAAATGGTGGGAACACCTGACAGAAAAGGTAGGTAAGAACTTACAGAATAGAGGGAAAATGGGACAGAAAAGAGAGGGAAGAGGGGACAGAAAATGGTGGGAAAATGTGTGAGAAAATGGCAGGAAAGGCTAAAAGAGGTGACAAGAAATGGAGGGCAATAAGGGACCAAAGAGATGGGAAAGGGGACAAGAAATGGAGGGGAAAGGGGACAGAAAAGAGGGAAGAGAAAAAGCTGGAAAAAGTGACTGGGAGTGAAAAAGGGAAAGAAAATGGTGACAGGAAGGGACAGGGCTGGGAAAGGGCACAGAAAGGTGAGGGAAAATGGACAGAAAACGGTGGGAAAAATGTGGGGGACAGGGTGGAAAAATGTGACAAAAAAGGCAGGAAAACATGACAAAAAAGGGTGGGAAATCATGAGAAAACGAGGAAAAAGGCTGGAAAACATGAGGGGAAAAATGTGGGAAAACATGAGGGGGAAAGGCAGGAAAATGAGGGTAAAAGACAGGAAAACGTGAGGGGAAAAGGTGGGAAAATGTGAGGGGGAAAGGCGGGAAAACATGAAGGGAAAAAGGAGGGAAAACGTGACAAAAAAACGCAAGAAAACTTGAGGAGAAAAGGGGAAAATGTGAGGGGGAAAAGGCGGGAAAACGTGAGGGGAAAAAGGCGGGAAAATGTGAGGGAAAGGGAGGTGAGGAGCTGAAAAAGCTGCAGAAGGTGAGAGGAAATGGGGGACAAAAAGGGACAAAGTGGAGGGACAGGAGAGAGAAAAGGGGTGAAAAAAGATCAGAAAGAGGGGAGAGGTGACAGAAAATGGGGGCAAGAGGGGACAGAACCGGAGAGAGAAAGGGGGGACAGAGACAGAAGGAGCAGAAGAGGCAGAAACTGGAGGAAGGAGGTGACAGAAATGGGGAGAACGGGGAGAAAAGAGGGAAAAGGGAAGCAGAGGGAGGGAGGAGGGTCAGAAACAGTGAAACGTGGGGGCTGAGGGTGGGCAAGGGGGGATGAAGAGGGGGACAGAAGGGGACAGCCCAGTGCCCGCTGCCATAATCCCCTGTGTACCCACTGTGCCCCCACCAAAGGCCCCCTTATTCCCCAATGTTCCCTCCATGTCCCTCCGTGTTCCCCCCATAGCCCCCCATGTTCCCCAATGTCCCCTCCATGTTCCTGTGTCCCCCAATGCCCCCCCATGTCCCCCAATGTCCCCCAATGTCCCCTCAGGCTGCAGCGATGGACGTGGACCCGCCCAGTGAGGAGCTCTGTGGCCGGGACTCCCCGAGACCCCCGTGTGTCCCCGTGTCCCCCCGACCCAGGGACAAGGGGTTCCAGAGTGTTCTGGAGGGACACGTTGTCCCCGTGTCCCACCCAGTTCCCCCCCCAGGTCCCCCTGGGGGGGGTCCCACGGCTTGAGATGCTGCTGAAACGGATCCACAGCCTGCAGAGCGGTGAGTGGGGGGATCGCCTTGTCCCTGTGTCCCTGTGTCTCCCCATGTCCCCCCATGTCCCTCTGTCCATCTCACCATGTCCCACAGCCCGTCAGACCATGGAGAAGGAGCTGGAGGAGGCACAAAGCCGCAGGGAGGGGCTGCGCCAGGACCTGGAGCAGCGTGAGTCACACGAGGGGGACACTGAGGGGTCTGGGGAGTCACTGAGGGGTCTGGGAGGGTCACTGAGGGTCTGAGGGGGACACTGAGAGGTCTGGGAGGGTCACTTAGGGGCCTGGGGGTGTCACTGAGGGCTCTGGGGGTCCCTCGTCCCAGCTGACCCACCCTCTCCTCCCCACAGTGAAGCAGCACGAGGCAGCACTGGAGGGGGTCTGGCAGCAGGTGCAGGGTGAGGCCGGGGGGACTCAGGGCCTTTGGGGTGGCTCAGGCCTTGACCACCCCAAGCCCCCCCTTGATTCCCCCTGATGCCTGTGAAACTCCTGACCCCCCCCCAGACCCTTCAACCCCTGTGATCCTCCAGACCCCCCAAATCCCCCTAATCCTTGTGACTCCCTGACTCCCTTGATCCTCCTCTGGGATTCCCCCTGACCCCTGTTGCCCCCTGGCCCCCCCAGACTCTCTGCGGGCAGCGCAGCTGCACAGGAAGGAGGTGGAGGCCGAAGGTCAGAGGTGAGTGGGGGGACCTGGACATCTGTGATCCCCCTGACTCCACCTTTGCCCACATGACCTCTGACCCCCCCCAAACACACCTGGTGCCCCCACAGGCGCCAGGGGCTCTGCCTGGAGCGGCAGCAGGGCCTGGAGGGGGCGGAGGAACAGCGGGAGCAGCTCCGGCACCTGCGCCGGGAATGCAGGTGGGGCCTTGGGGGACACAGGTGGGTGTGGGGGGACACAGGTGGGTGGGGGGGATACAGGTGGGCTAGGAGCTGTACCAGGTGACCTACACAGGTCACATGATCCCTGCGTCACCCCTGTGTGTCACAACCCTCAGGAGGGAGTTCTGGCAGCAGCTCGATGCCATCATAGACGAGCACAAGCGCCTGCGCGACATGCACGTGAGGCCTGGGGTGTCCCCTCCCACACCTGGGGGGCCACACACACACCTGGGGGAGCCACACACACACCTGTGCCCCCCCCCACAGGCCTCAGCCCACCTAGAGGCCGAACTGGTGCGACTGGAGAGCACAAAGGAGAAACTGCTGAGCCTGGGTGAGACCCCAACACCTGAGTGACCCCCTGGACTCCTGAGCCCCCCAGACCCCTCGGGCTGACCCACCTCCCCTTCCCCCCCCAGAGCGGTGCCTGATGGAGATTGAGGAGCAGGTGGGCCCAGAGGCCCCCGCGGTCACGTGAGTGCCCAGCCCCACCCCCACACCTGGCCCCACCCCCACACCTGCCCTGCCCCACACCTGGCCCCCACCTGCCCCCCACCCCTGCAGGCAATTGGTGGAGCAGGAGCAGGAGGAGGCACAGCAGCAGCTGGAGGTGCAGCTGGGCCTGCGGGATCAGGAGCTGCAGCGACGGGACAGGTGTGTGACCCTACCTGGGACAGGTGTGTGACCCCACCTGGGACAGGTGTGTGACCCCACCTGGGACAGGTGTGTGACCCTACCTGGGACAGGTGTGGCCCTGACACCTGGGCCTCCTGGGTCCACGCCTACATCTGGCCCTGCCCCCCAGGCTGGCAGAGGAGCTGAAGCAGCTGCAGCTGCAGCTGCCCAGGGAGGCTCCGGAGTGACAGGAGAGGAGACAGGAGGGACCCATGGGACACTTGGGCACCTGCGTGGCAACTGTGTGTCACCTGTGAGGTGCCCATGTGGTACCTACAGGACACCTGTGGCACCTGTGTGGCACCTGTGTTACCAGTGTGTCACCTCTGTGCCACCTGTGTGGCACCCACAGGAGACCTGTGTCACCTGCATGTCAACTGTGAGGCACCCGTGTGACCTGTGGGACACCTGTGTCAGCTGCATGTCACCTGTGTGTCACCTGTGTCCCCCCATGTCCTCGTGTCCCCTCAATCCCTCCTTGTCCCCGCCATGTCCCTCATATCTCGATGTCCTTCCATGTCCCCCCCCATGTCCCCAATGTCCCAAACATCCCCCACCGTGTCCCTCCATGTCCCTCCATGTCTCCCCATGTCACCATGTCCCCATTTCCCCCATGTCCCCAGTGCCCCCATGTCCCCAATGCCCCCTTGTCCCCCAGTGTCCCCCCATGTCCCCAGTACCCCCCATGTCCCCCAATAAACGCCCCCCGCATCACCGCCGCCTTTCACGTGTCTCTTTGGGGTCCCGCGGGGGGGCCCCGCAGGTAACACTTCCCCCAACATGGCGTCCCCCGGCGGCCGCCACCATTGCCCGCCATGGCCGCCGCCATGTTGGGTGTGGGCACGCCCTCAATCGGAAGCGGAAGTCGGTCACGCCCCTCGCTTCCGGCGGCGGCGGGGCCTGGCCCGGAGGGTCCCTCGGTGGCGCTGGCGGCGGCGGCGATGGTGGGGGGCGGGGGGGCTTGGGGGGGTTAGGAAGGGCTTTGGGGGGGCTGGAGAGGGTTGGGGGCTGGGGGAGGGTCTGTGGCGGGGGCTGGGGGTTCGGAGGGGTCTGTGGGGGCCCCGTGACACCCGGCCGTGACCCGACGGCCCCCGCCATTGCCCACCCCCAGGACAGCGAGTTCTCGGACGCGGAGGCGGCGCCGGGCGGGGAGGAGAACGCGCCCGTTTATTGCGTGTGCAGGAAGCCCGACATCAACTGTTTTATGATGTGAGGGGGAAACGGGGGGGCCCGATATAACTGCTTCGTGTCTTGAGGGGGGAGTGTGGGAATGGGGGGGCTTGAGGGGTCCCCAAATGCTTCGTGATGTGGGGGAGGAAGGAGGGGATCCCAACATTAACTGCTTTGTGATGCGAGGGGGAAATGGGGGTCCAACTGCTTCACGATGGGAGGGGGAGTGAGGGGTCCTGTGAGGGGGCTGGGGGGGCTCTGTAGGGCCGTGGACCCCAGGGGGACCCGAGGGGGGAGAGCTCAGGGCCGGGGGGGAGAGCAGATACCTCTGAGGGTGGGAGTTGGGGGGCTCCGGGGGTCTGTTGGGTGGATCCCTTGAAAGGGGGCAGTGAGGGCTCCTTTGGGGTGGAGGGGATGGAGGGACCCTTGAAATGGGGGGGCGTGGAGGGACTTTTGGGGGGTTCCCCAGCTGAGGGTCTCGGTGTGTGTCCCCCCCAGCGGATGTGACAACTGCAACGAGTGGTTCCATGGGGACTGTATCAACATCACCGAGCGCATGGCCAAGGCCATCCGGGAGTGGTACTGCCGCCAGTGCCGCGGTGAGGGGGCCGGGGGGGCCATCTGGGGCTGGCACTGCCACCAGTGCCACGGTGAGGGGGCCGGGGGGGCCATCTGGGGCTGGCACTGCCGCCAGTGCCG